CGTCCGTCTCACTGCCACCGACAACAGTCCTTCTCAGGACTACACTCACCCGGACGATCAGACTACACCTTCACATGTTACCCCCGGGTTCAAACCATTTACTGCATTACAGCAAATGTCATTTGATTGAACTAATTTAGTTGGACTGAATAGCTTCCAGATTCAGTATGAGCCATCACCAGTGTGTGACGTGAATATACCTCTCAATAGAAATTAACTTTTTTTCATGCATTTTGGATATTACAATCAGGTCGTTGTTGACGTAGAAACCGGCGAACCTTCCGACAATCTCACTGATGTTGCCCTCAAGTACTGCAAGTCTATCGGCAGTGATGCAAAAACTGTTTCCGAAATTCTGTCGACCAAAGACGAGAAAGTAATGAAAGCGATTCAAGAGGGAATTGATCGAGCCAATGCCAAGGCCACGTCGAGAGCTCAAAAGGTATGGAGCGGTAAAGTGTATGTGCAAAGGTAGAGCTCTTCGTGCAATTCAGAGTTTGGATGAGAGTTTTAGAAACTATATTTGATTTTGAGAAAAGATGGCGGTGCATAGGACAGTGTACTACATTTAATCTGTTGTCATCTACTTTAATGAAGCCGTTGACTCCTAAAAGTAACTAGCGTGTAATTTCTCCCTTTCATACCGCCTCAGAATTAAACAGAAAGGTCACCAGAATAGACGAAATGATCCCCAACAACAGGAGCTCTCGATTGTTAAACAAATTCTCCTTGTCAGCACACTACGAAATGTATAGAGAACAGTATGGAGAATATGCATTCTGATATTAGGGTTTAAAGGGTGAAACTGGGTTCCCTTCAGTCATTCCGACAGTTATAAAGCTTGACTCAAAGTATAGTCAAATATAATTACTTCGAATCCCTTTAAATTGTTCATTTTAGGCTGCTGTCTCAAGTCCTTTTGCGCTTGTGTAAACAGATTCTGTCCAGTTTAATAGAAACTCTGATTTTAAAATATACCGTCTCTTACAGGTGCAGAAGTGGAGCATCTTGGAAAAGGACTTTTCCCTTCCAGGCGGGGAGTTAGGTAAGATATGTGTTTTAATCACTAGGAATGGTTTACTCTGTTCTGAATTTACCTCTCTTTGCTCTTTCACTCCAAAGATCTGAGAGCAAACTCTCCGAAATGATGACCATGCTTTTGTTTGTTGGCCATTTCTGTAGAAAGTTTGAGTTTCATGCAGGCTGTAGTCCATAATTTATAATTTTCGTGGTTCGCAGTACTCGTCTGTCTTAGAGCTCAGTATGTTAAGTAACTGGAGAATTTGGATCCTGATGACGCCTGTAACTGTTCGGAAAATTTTGAGATTCGCCTGCGAACGTAACGAGGAAGATGGCATTGAAAGAGACGCAGTAATATCATAGGTGATTTATCTGATTGATTTGTTTACACTAATGTTCTATTGCTGTTTTATAACAGGTCCCACTCTCAAGCTGAGGCGGCCGATTGTGTGCAAAATGTTCAAAGATGAGATCGACGGTTTCTACGAAGAAGCTTAAAATTAAACCCCTAATGAATCTAGTGTAGATAAATGGTATAACAGATTATAGTGGCAACTGTGTATGATTTTGACGTTATACAACGTCAAACCCTATTTTAATGGTAGTTTTGACCTTTGTTAGGCCTATTTTTTGTCTATTGAGGGACAACAAGGGATCAGTTTCTTTAGTAAAAGAGATCCAATCATAACGGCGTAGAGGGAAAAGTGGAAATCTTCAAAGTGAGTACAGTTAACTCTAGGGAGATGAATGATACAAAGAAACATAATTCACAGTAAGTTAGTGCTTACTATGTAATTTAGTCAGGTAGTAAGTTATGATCAACACGTCAAGTTTGCACTTAAATGCAGCTCGAGTGTAAACGTGGAGGGTCCTCTCTCCCCTCTTGTCACCCCCCTGCATTCCTTACCCCTCTTCTCACCCCCCCCCTGCATTCCCTTGACGCCCCTATCCCACCGTCAAACCAAGGGAGCTTGCAAAGCAGGCTATGCTAAGGGTCTTTGAGAACTGTTTATAAATATAACATTGTCGCTGTTAATTCCCTTAATTTTTGTATTTATTGCGGCAACTGTACGGTGATAAGCTAGTTTGGTACATTCACAAGAAATTGTGCATTTTTGCAAAACTAATCGTAAAAACTTTTGTGTTTAATTTCAATGTAACTGTAAGTCTCAATGTGCCTCGAAACTGGCCTTCGTAAGCTGCAAGAAAGAATTTCTTCCGTTGAGGTCAAACAGAACCCTCCTCCCGTAAATACAACGATGGCTGGAGCGGGTTTTCAGTTTTACATTCTTCGCTGGGGGCAGTTTCTCTGTCTTTGCGTTTGATGAGATAAATCTGATTAATTTAGTAGTTTAGGCGTAGAAAAAATTGTCCCTCATCCTCTAGCTCCCAGATAGGATTCAATTGTAATTTACTCTAACAAAAACTTCGTACATTATCAAGAATAAAGTTAATGAAGGTAGACTAAATTATCACCCATAGAGTATAGCTTGATAGAACACCAAATTCTCTTAAGATATCCACTAAAGAATGTTTCACAGCCGGAAAGGAGAATTACGAGTCAAATCATGGGAGCTAAAGGTAAAAACCTAGAGATCTGTGTTATCGAGAGATCTGTATTATTAATAGCGCGGAAACCAACTCAGTAGGTATCCTGCAATTATTAGCTATTCCTACTCCATCTAGTTTTACCGATCTATTTTAGTTATGTGCAGTAGTTGAGTATTAGTGATATGGTGGTGTTTATGTAATCACACTTTGTATTGATTTAAGTATAGTCGAAATAATGGGTCATTAATCAATTTCAAATAAAATCGCCCGACAGAATAATAACAGTAATATGCATTTATCATTCCACTATTGCGTCGTTTTACCATATTAGGGCAACGGAACGCACAGAGTAGGCAACAAACAGTACGGGGCAAGAAAGCAGACGCAAGTGGTGCATCGCATCTAAATGGCCGGACGGAATGATCAAACGTTTTGGGCTTGACTTTTTAAAGCCACGAACTGTTAAGCATATCGGATATTTTGTTGGTCAGAGAATACATAAATGGTTTCCATATTGGACTTTTAGACTATGGAAGGTGTGTTGGTCTGTACGTCACGACGAAGACTCGGTCACCCGAAGTTACTCCGCCGATAAGAAGAATTTTAACATTTGCCGCTGTTTTTCCTCTTTATTCCTTTCCTCTCTGATTGTTTCTATCTTACGTCTCGCTGACCGTTCGCCGGGCTGAGTTGCTTTTTTCAGCTCCGGCTCATTTCATCGCGTAAGACTCGGAGAAATTTTGTGTATTCTTTTCAATGAAAGTGCGCGTAACCAGTAACTCAACCGTTTAGAAGATTTCTGCTTTCGAGTGATCGAAAGAAACACCTTTCAGTAGTGAAGGATTCCGTTTTTGAGTGATTGAAATACCTTTCAGTAGTGATGGAAGGAAGGATGTAAAGCCTTTCCGTTCCTTTTATTGACGCGGGAGATAGCTGAGCGAACCAGGAGTCTCGCGAGGGTATGAGGCTAAAGTGATAACTTGAAATGTTTTTCTTTTAATCGATAGAGTTTCGACCGAAACCAAAAGATCCTTATTTAGAAAGGTTGATAGTTTAACTCACACCATCAGCATCAAAAATGAAAGATAAACTTTCTGAACAACAACAAACATATGAAACATATGTATGAACTGCGGTTATGAAACGTATATGTGCACGATCCTTCGCAGTAAAGCACTATTTGAGCAATAGTGAAAACCGGTCTCCTCGTCCCAAAAAATATTTAGCGGTGGGTATAAATTTTGTTTTTGTTGCTATTTTGTTTAATTTTGTTTTTTTTTTTTTTTCATTTTTCATCAGAGCGCTGTTATCAGTATTGTGTAGTTAAGAGTGAAAGTCGTCCTCTGCTTCTCTTAACCAAATTTTTTCAGTGTGATGAAGGAGGCTGGCTCTGCATTTCGTTCATACAACTGACACAATTGCGGCGAGCTTATTTTTTTCACTTAGTACTGATGCGGTCGAGACGTATAATCTCACCAAAAACGTTTCTGCAAGTGCAAATATGCGCTATTCTTTTCCATTCTTAATCTTCCTCGTAGGTTTTTGGTCAATTTTCTTTCTACTTCAATTTGGTCTTTTTTTTGTGCGTATACTTATTATCTGATATCCTGTGCCTCAGTTTTAACACATTCGCTCCGACGAAAGGCTAACGCTCGAAACGTCAGCTTTTGTAATCGTTACGGTGGCCAGTTTACCATTTCAACTTCGTTGATATATCCAAATTATTTCGTTACTCCCACCGACGCAGCCCCAAACAGTTTCTTTCGAAACTATCAGCCTTTTTAACATTATCGGACTGGAACTTTTTCATGTCGAAGAAACTGAAATCAAAATCTTGTGACGTTCATCCCGTAAATTTCAGGTTCGGTGCATTAGTCAGCATCCTTATTCTTCGTTTAATACTCCAAAGCTTTTAAACTTTGGATAAGGTTTTTTCAAAACAAAAGGACACCCAGGAGACAAAACGCACCAGGGTTTACTCGCGTATTCTTGATTTATTAACTTGTGAAAAAGAAGCCTTACAAGTTAGCTATTGCTTCCTTTTAAGTCTTCAAAAAGGATAGAAAATAAAATAATATTGGTGGAATAGTGAAGTCCTTATTCGTCGATTTAAAATATAGGAGNTCAGTGTGATGAAGGAGGCTGGCTCTGCATTTCGTTCATACAACTGACACAATTGCGGCGAGCTTATTTTTTTCACTTAGTACTGATGCGGTCGAGACGTATAATCTCACCAAAAACGTTTCTGCAAGTGCAAATATGCGCTATTCTTTTCCATTCTTAATCTTCCTCGTAGGTTTTTGGTCAATTTTCTTTCTACTTCAATTTGGTCTTTTTTTTGTGCGTATACTTATTATCTGATATCCTGTGCCTCAGTTTTAACACATTCGCTCCGACGAAAGGCTAACGCTCGAAACGTCAGCTTTTGTAATCGTTACGGTGGCCAGTTTACCATTTCAACTTCGTTGATATATCCAAATTATTTCGTTACTCCCACCGACGCAGCCCCAAACAGTTTCTTTCGAAACTATCAGCCTTTTTAACATTATCGGACTGGAACTTTTTCATGTCGAAGAAACTGAAATCAAAATCTTGTGACGTTCATCCCGTAAATTTCAGGTTCGGTGCATTAGTCAGCATCCTTCTTCTTCGTTTAATACTCCAAAGCTTTTAAACTTTGGATAAGGTTTTTTCAAAACAAAAGGACACCCAGGAGACAAAACGCACCAGGGTTTACTCGCGTATTCTTGATTTATTAACTTGTGAAAAAGAAGCCTTACAAGTTAGCTATTGCTTCCTTTTAAGTCTTCAAAAAGGATAGAAAATAAAATAATATTGGTGGAATAGTGAAGTCCTTATTCGTCGATTTAAAATATAGGAGTGGACACTTGTTGACTGCTCTCATTTTTTCTTGCTCCTATATATGGAGCTCGAAGAAATGATACACAACCCGCAAAACATGCGCGTGTTTAACTTGGACATATCAGAGAGGTAAATTAGGGGTCAACTTGGCTGCGTATTTTAATCGATTTGCGCTTATTTGTTGAACAAAAGAGGCCCCTCTGAACAATTCCTGCCGGATAGGACGATTTCGTTCACCGCTAAAACTAATCAGATTGCAAGAATAACAACCACGAACCGACTGAAAGGAAAAAACGATGTAAATAGCAATGGATGCTTACCCTCGTATTTTCAATCATGTCTTTATTCTCGTAGAAGCTCGTGACATGAACGACACAGGCGAGGTCATCCAGGCTGTCTTAATTGGCCTCATCGTCGTCAGTTTCTTTCTCAAAACCTGTCGAGTTCTACATGTCGGTGGATTTTGTAAGAAATGCTTGGTTTTCAATCACAACAAAGGAGTCGTACACAGAATCCTCAAATGGTACATGGCTCAGCATCTGGCCATATTTGATATCTATTGTCTCACCTCTGACGACTCGAGTGTAATCGAATATGGAAAGAGGTTTCTTGACACACTTCACGACTATGGCGAGAAATCTTTAGAAGGTAACCTGCTCCTAACACTAGCCGAACTCTGCGAAAGCCATGGGAAACTAGTTGATGCAGAAGAACTCTTTCAAAAGGCAGCAGAAATCAATAATGAAATGGGTGCCAGTAGCGAAGAAGCCTTTTGTTACGAGAGACTAGGAATTGTCCTGCACTCTCTCGGTGAATACGTCAAAGCGACGGTATTGTTCGAGAATGCACTGAAGATCAGAATGCAAGAGGGTGACAAAACTGGACAAGCCAGAAATTACTCCAACCTCGGGGCCATGTTTCAGTCTCTTGGTAAATACATGAAGGCGAAAGAGTATCTCGAAGAAGCACTTTCTATCACAAAAGAAACAGGCGACAAGGATATAGAAGCGAGTTCTTATGAAAACCTAGGCATAGTGTTGGAGGGAATTGGTGAATATAACAAGGCAAAAGAGCATCACGAAAAGTCACTCGCAATCAAACACGAAATTGGTGACCAAAAAGGTAAAGCCTTGACTTACGTGAACCTTGGAAATGTTTTTCTATCTATTGGTGAAAATGCTAGAGCTAGAGAATGTCTTGCTAAGGCTCTTGCGATGTATCAAAAAGCTGATGAAAGAAAAGGTGAAGCGACTTGCTACGGAAACATTGGAACCGTTTTACAGCGTCTTGGTCAATATCAAGAGGCAAAGGATTATCACGAAAAATGCCTGAAAATCAGTCGAGATATTGGTAACAGGAATGGAGAGGCATCATCTTATTGCAACCTAGGAAATGTCTTTCTAGCTTTGGGTGAAAATGCCAAGGCTAGAGATTATTTTGAAAAAGCGATTGAAATCAAAGAACAAACGGGTGACAAATTGGGCAAAGCAAAATGTTATGGAAATCTAGGAAATGTGTTCCAGCATCTTGGCAAATATCGTAAGGCACAAGATTATTACCAGAAAGCACTTTCAATAGAACAAGAAATCGGAAACAAAAAAGGAGAGGCAGCATGTTATGTGAGCCAAGGTAATGTGTTTCAACATATTGGTGACTATGCAAAGGCTAAAGATAATTACGAAAATGCGATTAGAATCCAACAAGAAATTGGTGACATCAATGGTGAGGCTAATTCTTTCGAGGGTTTAGGAACTTTGTTAAAAAGTGTGGGTGATTATAGCGAGGCAGAAGCTTATTACGGAAAAGCTGTCGCAATCAGGCGAAAACTCGGGAACAGAAGAGGGGAAGCTTCGTCCTACTTGAACTCTGGAACTTTGTTCCAATACCAAGGTGAGTATTTCAAGGCAAAGGATCACTATGAAAAAGCACTTGCAATCGCTCAAGAAATCGGCGCTAGGAAAGAAGAGGCAATATGTAAAGGAAACCTTGGAACTGTGTTTAAACATTTGGGTGAATATGTAAAGGCAAGGGATTACTACGAGAATGCGCTAACAATCCATAAGGAAATGGGAAATAGAAGAGGTGAAGCTTCGTCTTATGGGAACCTTGGTGCTCTGTTTTATTCTCTTGGAGAATATGTCGAAGCACAATATTATTTGGAAAAAGACGTGGGGATACGAAGATAATTGATACGAAGAAATTGGTGACAAAATAGGCGTGGCCACGTCTTACATGAATGTAGGAGATGGGTTTTTCAATCTTGGCAAATACAGGAAGGCTGACGAAAATTATCAAAAAACACTTCTGATATCAAAACTACTTCGTTACAGACTGGGAGAAGCAAGATCTTGCACCAGGATTGGAAGCATTCATCGTATTATTGGCAACCATCTAACGGCGAAAGAATACTTCGAGAAGGCTGTGTCAATCAGCGAAGAAATCGGGGACAGGAAAGGATTAGCAAAAGAATATGAACTGCTGGGTAGTTTATACATTTCTCTTGGTGAAAACATCAAAGCGAAAGAATATCTTGAGAACGCACTTGCCATCAGTAGAGAGATTCGTGACGGTAAACAAGAGTTTTTAACTCTTTGCAGACTTACTATGGTTTCCATTTTGGATGGAGCTGTTTTAGACGCATTTGCATGTCTTTTTACAAACATTCAGAATTGCGAGGAATTGCGTGGTGCTGTTGGGGACAACGATCAGTTTAAGATATGTTTTGCCCAACAGTGTGTTTTCCCGTACTGGATTCTCAGTGAAATGTTTCCTTTGGCGGAAGACTATAATCAGGCACTCGGTATTTTAGAGCTTGGTAGAGCCCGGGCCCTAACCGACACATTGTCAGCCCAGTACTCATTAGAAAACCAAACATCCACTGGTTTCCAGTCCTGGACCAGCATCGAAAATGTTATGGATAAACAGAGCAATTGCACTTGCCTTTACATCTCGTATACACCTAAAAATTTGGTTCTGTGGATTTTAAAGGGAAACTGTGTCTCCAAAACCCACGAAAGAGAATTCATTGATGTAATGCAGGGCGGATTGTTGAGAACATGGGATGAGTTTTTTGCTGAAAGCTTTCGACAGTTCGGCGTTTTGTCCAAAGGAAGCAATGAAGATCGCTATTCATGTGAGGACCAAACGAAAGATACGTCCCCTGAGGGAGGTAGTTTCGCTCCTTTTAGACCTGTAGAGGAGGATGAAAACAACGAGCCTGACCCAAAGCTATCATTGTATTACAACATGATCATTGCTCCTGTTGCTGACTTCCTTGATGAGCCCAACATCATCATCGTTCCAGATCGTCAGTTGTATCGGGTCCCATTTGCAGCTTTACAAGCAAAGAATGGGAAATTTTTATCAGAGATGTTTCGGATTCGCTTCGCACCATCGTTGACGACTCTCAAACTCATTCAGGACAGTCCAGATGATTACCACAGTCAAACCGGTGCACTGATTGTTGGTGATCCTGAAGTTGGTGAGGTTATCTACAAGGGTCGTCGTAAAGTAATACCACCGCTGCCATGTGCACGGAGGGAAGCTGAGATGATTGGGCGACTGCTGAACATTGAGCCTTTGATAGGACAACAAGCAACCAGGCAGGCCGTGCTTCAAAAGATCCAATCCGTGAGTTTGATACATTTTGCAGCACATGGTAACCCAGACAGAGGAGAAATTGCACTTGCACCTCTCCGTCCCATTCACCATACTCCAAGGGATGAAGACTTTGTGTTATCAGTGACCGACATATCACAAGTTAAGCTGCGAGCAAAACTAGTAGTTCTTAGTTGCTGTCACAGCGCACAAGGACAGTTCAGAACCGAGGGAGTGGTTGGCATTGCTCGGGCGTTTTTGGGATCCGGTGCACGTTCGGTGTTGGTGGCACTATGGGCCCTGGAAGACACTGCAACAGAGCAGTTGATGAAATGCTTTTACGCACACCTTGCACGTGGGTCAAGTGCTTGTGAATCTCTTCACCAGGCTACGAAGTGGATGAGACGAAATGGCTTTTCCCGAGTGAGTCAGTGGGCCCCCTTCAAGCTGATTGGAGATGATGTGACTCTTGATTTTGGTGTAATTTTTGGGTTAAAAATCTAGGATTTTTTAAGCTTTCTCCTACGACTTTTTTGAAAAGCTTCAATATTCAGCAACCATGCAGATTTTAAGAAGTTTAGAGTAACAAAGGCGGTAACATTTTGCTCATGTCGCGCAAATACCCCACCAATTTTTTTTTATGTAAGCCTAAATGTTAAAGCACGAACAAAGAGTCATGAGAAGAGGAAGGTGCGATGTTAGATAAAGGATTTGAATCACATTTCATTGAAAGATTTGAAATAATCAGCAACATGCAACTTTAAGACAATTTAGTCTCTTTAAGAGACATTGACGATTAAGTAATTGACGTATCACACATATGCCTCTCGCTTTTGCATCATCAATGTAAAATCAAACAAGATGAAAGAAATGAAACGAAAAATGTTTGGTTTGTTTATTCATTGCGACCGTCACAAATTCTTTTGGAAAACAAAATAAACTCTAGCCCTCCCCCTGTGGAGAGGCAGTACACCCGGGACAGCTGTGGAGGGAGTCGTGAATATAGATGTCGCATTCCATACAAAAGAACTGTGTACATTGAGGACAAGAATATACCTGCAAGGAAACAAACGTACTGCTCGTATGTCGGTCAAAAAAAAAAAAAACCGGTCGTTTCCAAAAATATTTTCCAAATCATATCCACTTACAAAAGAGTGTGCGTTTGATCCTAGTGACGGCTGGCCAGGAGGGTTGGGGTGCCCGCGAACCCCCTCTCTTCCTTTTCAAGCCTTTTCTTTTTATAAGTAACCAGCCTACAATATTTAGATGCCGAAAACTTGTGAGTACCCTCTGTTTGACACAGTGTGTGAACCCCCCTCCCTTTAAAAAATCCTGGCCGCGCCCCTACGAAGGTCTGGGGTTCGATTCATCTTAGGGACTCGAGACAGGACATTAACATCTTTCTTTACAGTGCATTTTGTTCTGGTTATTGTACATTATGAAGAAGTCACGCCTGAGTCGATTTTGCGAAAAGTTTTGCATAAGTTATATTTTTACTACTGTATAATAACACATGGACATCAATCGTATGTCTCTAGTAGGATTTATCACCGCACTCGTCCACACCATTGCTTCCTTTTGAAATGTTATCATAGTTCTGTGCACAATGACAGAGTACGAAATCCGGTCGACTGTAATCGTTATTGTTCCCTCCTCGTTTAACTGAGGGGAAGGAGTGAAGCTCTTATGGCTTTGTTTTAGATCAAAGAACGCTATGCTGGTCTGTTTAATGATTCAATAATCAACAACATCAAAGGGTAAAGAAACATACGAAACGATAAACCATAAACATAACTCAGCGGGATGACAAAAACTACAACGACGACGATCACAATCACAACAAATCACGCGAACAAAAAGGAAAACAGTTGACTATCTGTAATTGGCTCACCGTTTGTTCTGTGAACACTCTTTGGCAGGCGAAACAATGATTTTGTCTATACAGATTAAAAAAGAAAAAAACCTTAAAACAACATCGAGGTGATTACAGAATCTTGTATTATTCATATAATTTTACATTTCTGAAAAGATGGTTGAATTCTGGTCTCATTACCAGTCCTGCAAAGAAAAATCTGGTGAGTACAAAGACGTAATTTTCAGTTGTGTGCCTACAGTCTTCCATCATTACCACGCTCTGTGATTCTTTTAGAAAAATGCAAACAAGTTTTCAGAGGCTTTTTGTACTGGTAATCTTTGTCCTGATTGGCTGTTTTGATTACTTTGGTCGAAAAGGGCTGTACTCCAAGAAAAGAAAAAATCCAAACGTCTCATAAAATGTATTTGTCCATTAACTGACTAACAAATAGCAACGAGTAACGACTGAATACTCGTTAAAAAGGTCATAACCGTGTCATGCATAATGCTGAACAAGTCGAGATCGATTACAGAACTGCAACCCTTGAAGCAATCTAAACGCTATACGAAGTACGGAATTTAAAGAAGGCTTTGATCTATTCAAGTTCGCATTGTTCTTTCAACCTTCAGACGCATATATGGTTACTGTGTATTTTACCTGGGTAAGCTCTGTCCATCTACAGGAGTTGACAAATCTGTTTCAGTGAACTGAGGAAGCGGGAATAAGTGCTGATACGAACGAGCCAAATGAGGCGCACACACTAGCGTTAAACCTGTAAAACACAAGTCACATTACAATAAGTATTCCAGCAATTATTCCAACAATTCTCGAATGTCCAAAGACTTATTCACGTCCGTTTATCACTACCGTGGAAAAAACATAAGCTTTAACAGATCACATTGCACCAGCAGAACTGAATTACCCTGCGAAGGACAAAGACCTCAAACTGTGTCAACAAGGTAAAAAGACCTTTCCGCGTCCCAACTAAAGTGTCAGATCAGCGTTGGTTGGTTCACTTCTCAAAAAATACGTACTGATTCATCAAGATATTGTTACTCTATAGCTACCTTTCTGCGTCAATATCTAAGAGAGTCATCTTATCTTTTGACATGTAACCTCCGTCTAAACAAATGGGTCCTTACAGAAAGTAATTGATTTTTTAACATGTGCACTCACCACAAACTTTGCATTCTACTGGCAGGTCACAGTACTTGCTCTTACACTAAAAAATGAGCGAAAAAAGGAGAATCAGTATTTGCCACTCCTTTACGTACAGTTTTGGTAATAAGAGGGAATAAAAAGGGTTATCGTACCTGCGGACAGAAGTATCCTGACGTGCCGAGTCCTTTAATACCGTTACTATCCAAATGACTACAACGTATACAACAAAAATACCAATCAAATGGATTAACGATAATTACAGTCGAAGCTGTAGTAAGTGGTCACCTTATATTAAGCGGTGGGTTGTCAAAGTCGCGAAATGACCCTAATTTCCCCCTAGACACTGTAATTTTCACTTGTACAAAGCGGTCGTGGTCCCCCTGAGTCCCAGCAGCCCGTTTGTATTGGCTTCCAGCTGCCTTGAACGGTCAGTTAAGGTGGAATGAATGAATGAATGAAAAACTTTATTTAAGTGTCTATGATTTTAGCTATAAGCTAATGGGGGACACTAAAAAATTTAAAAGTCAAATACATTTACATATGTAGATAATAGTTATTTACAGTAGATAATTA